TGGATTTTTCTTCTTAGAATCTTTGTGGGTTAATTCGTACATTAACATACTCCCGGGGGAGGGGATGAGCGGTTAGTCGTTTCTCAAACGCTCATTTATTTTTATTGTTTCGCCAAGAGATTTTGCTAACTTGTTTGAGCATTTTTTTTTTTTTTTTGTAAGAATGGAGTTGTGGGTGACACTTCTTTTGGGGCATTGAAATTACATTATTGATCATATTTATGCGAATTGATTTGTCATTTTCTTCATATCCGCCTGAAATAATCCATCCCAATTTGGTGTTTTGAGCAATTGGTTGGTTTTCCTTGCCCTTTATTAATCCGTAGTCAACTATTTCAGCGAATGTTCGACTACCAATGAGAAGATCAATTTGGTGACTATTTGACGTACTTGAGTCAGCCAATTGCAAACCCTTGAGGTGTGGCCATTGGGCAAATGTTTTTGGGTGGATTGGTTTGATTTTTGTGATGTCTTGCGTTATGAACGTTGGCAAAGGCAGTCTATAATTTTTATCGTGCACAGAACCAATAAGAAGTGATGTTTTATGGGTGGCTGTACCAGCTGTGACGTTGGCCAGGCCGAACATGGGAAATGGTGTGATTCGTTGTCGAGAGCATTGAAGTAGTTTTGCGCCCCTTTCACTTAGTAAATTTGTGGTTGACCCCTGGTCAATTAACGCACGTAATGTGATTACTCCCCTTTTAGTATGAATAGGTACGAGAGCGGTGGCCAAGAGAGGTCCCTTTGTTTCGGCTCGATTGTGGAACGTTTTTTCTGGCCTTGATGCTGGATCCATTGTACTGAGTGCATCGTGTAATAATGTATGATGTCTTTTTTTACAACGTTGACAATCAAACTGCGATGTACACTGTTCTGTTTCGTGATTGTCATACAAACAATTGAGGCATAGCTTCTTTTCTTTAGCTACGCGTAACGCTATTTCCGAATTTTGAAACATTGGGCAAGAGAAAATTGAATGTTCCGCCGAACAAATGCGGCACTTATCCGATCGAGTATGGAAATATGCTGCATCATACTCATCAGCCCCATATTGCTTTTCCTCCTCCTCCTCCATGCTAGTGTCTCTCTTTGACTTTTCTGCTGTTGGTAAGGACGAGGAGTCGTTGTGATTTGGTCGTATGTGGATTCTTCTTGGAGGAAGCACTGAACTGATTTTATATCGTGTCTCCAAAAATTCTAAGAATTGTTTTAGCGTAGTTGGTTCATGCGAGCCCTTTCTTTCTTCTTCCCATTTATGTCGTAATTCGGGACTTAACTTTTCTTGTAACGTGAAGACGATCATTGGATCCCATGTATCTGTAAGGATGTCCAAATTTTTTATGCCCGCGAGACAGCTATTGGTAGTTGTAATAGCAAATCGAATTGATGCCGCAGTAGACATCACGGGAATATCGTGAAAGTTTTTCAAATGGGCGGAAACTATAGCATGCTTATTTTCGTATTGAGATACAAGTAGATCCCAAGCTGCATTATAATCATTTAAATGTTTTATGATATCTTTAGCCTCTCCTTCTAAATAATTTTTCAGGTGTGTCAATTTTTCAATATTATCTCCCTGATATTTATTCATTAGAGATGTGAACATTGCTTTAAATTCGGGCCATTTCTCGTATTTACCATTAAAATGTGGGACCGATATTTTTTCCAGGCGTATGCCCATATTCTTTGTAATAGTTTCTGACGTGTTTAGAGTGGTATTGGAAGTGGTTCGGGTAGTTTGAAAGAAGGAGGCGTTCAAATTGCGGTCCTCTTCATTTTCAACAAATTCGGATACATGAAATTTGCTATTTAAATATAAATCTTGGATTTGTCGATTTTTTGTTTTGATATCTGTCAAATTTTCCAAGGTGTGGTATTGTGGCATTTCTTCGAGCGTATCAATTGTACTCGCGAAATCATGATAAGCCTTTTCTAGAGCTCTGATGCGATAAGATATCAGGGTAGCATTGCTCGTTTCTGTGAATTTCATAACCTCTTCGGCATGATGTTCTAGATCCTCAATTACTCGAGTTCTTATTGATAACAGGCGGTTGAGTTTGGTCGACATGGTAATAGTGTTTATTTATTATTTGTTTCCGATTCGAAGGACCAAATGTTCGGTTGTGGACTGTATTTATAATAGAAATAAGGGGTAATGTTGCTAGGTTTTGAAATTATGTTTGAAGGGTTTTGAGTTGTGTGTATTTAGGTGTGTGTGTGGGTTTGTGGAATTATTCTTGTGATTGTGTTTTGATTTTTTTGTGTTTGTGTTTGGTTGTGATTGTTGATTGTATCAAATTTGATGTTATAAGGTTTGGCAAAGTTTGTCAACTTTGATGTTATAAGGTTTGGTAAAGTGTATTGATTTTGATTTTGTAAGGTTTGGTAGAGTGTGTCAACTCTGATGTTGTAAGGTTTGGCAAAGTGTGTCAACTTTGATGTTGTAAGGTTTTGCGTGAAAGAGATAGCATGAATGGTTTATTGAAAGTGCAAAAGAGATAGCTTGGAACGATGATATGAAACTGAAAGCGCGAGAGAGACAGGTATAGTGTGGAAAAAGTCGAGCAAAATCTCCGCGTGGCAGCGGCCGATTCTATTCGGTTCTCAGTAGTTCCGAATGTATAGGTTTCTCAGTAGTCACCTTGATTAGTTCTCATAAGTCCTAATTGTGGCTTCTCAATAGTTGCCGTGGCTTCTCACTAGTCGCCGATGTTTGCTTCTCAACAGTCGCAAAAAGAATGAACGCTCATAGAGCGTGCCGCTCTATTTATACTCTTCCGTTCGCATGAATTGTATGCGACCGTGTCTATGGGCCGTGTGGTTGTTGTTGTTTTCTACACAGCGTATATAGGCAACGTTCATGCTTTGTGTACTTTGCTTATGGCGAACGTTCGAGTGCGCATGAATGTATGGGTAAAATGGTTTACAGGGTGGTTAACAAGTTTTTTTTTGTTATATAGAGTGTATAAAAATGGCGCGCGCATGGAATTTAATTATTTTGTGATGTGAATATTATGTGTTTTGTTTTATGTAATTGTTGTTGTTTTATATGATTTTTTTGTATTTATTTCTAATTTATATTTTTTTGTAGATTTTTATATGGTTTTTTTGTATATTTTTTTGTTAATAGTTTTTTTTTATATTTTATGTTTTTTGTGAGGTTTTTTTGTGGATTTTTCTTCTTAGAATCTTTGTGGGTTAATTCGTACATTAACACTAGGTGTGTGCGGAAAAGTAATATGTTTTGAAATTTGTCTGAAGTTGGAAAAAACTTCATTGTTCGTTTCCCGACAATTCTTGACTTTCATGGACTTGGATTTTTAAATGAAAATAAATGTCAATGATTCTGTGATGAGCAAACTGACATATTTGACTGGAAAATAAACATACAACTTTCATCAAAATATTTAAGCCAGCCTTGACGAAATAAGATTCTCATAGACACTCCAGTCTCCAATGTACATTATTTCATGGATAAAACCAGGTGACACGTTTTCGAACAATATAATATTTAAAAATTCGTTTTTCTCTATTGAAATTGTCTCAACAGATGAATATTGTTTGTTTAAATGGAACCGAAGACTGTATCTCATATAATTTAGAGTAACTTTGAATTTTAAATAACATTGCCGCCAACAATACGAAATTGTACAAGCTTTTATATTGAAACACGCTCCGATATAGTGTAATAAAAGTTTCAATAGAAAAAATAAACTCAGATAATTGTGTTTCAATCGTAAAACATTTGAACACATGCAAAGTTTCGTCGCTGAGGAGACATCCACCGTCTGAATTCAAACGATAAACATGCTGATACAAAAAACTGATGATTCTAGTAAAATGTATGCAATTATTTTTAGTCCATCAGGGCTAATGGCTTATGGCTGATAATAATTGTACCTAAAATGTACCTTCAAAATAACATCATCATAAAGTCATTACTTCGATGGTGTTCTTCAGAACTTCTTCTGCAGAGCAGTGTCCTTCAAAATTCACGGGGATTTTCTTTGAGTTTTGTTTTCGTCATTCTATCACAATATTGAGTAAGCCCGAAATGTGGGCTCCAAATATTAGCCAAACGAGTAAGGTACAATTAAGTACATTTTTAAACCTAGTCCCAAGTTTCGACTTTTACATGCGCGGACATTCGAATATACATCCCCATCAGGGCATTATACGATGGAAAGCTATATCGGGGTAAAGTGTACTCTTTTAAAGATTTCACTAAGTTACTATTCGCCTTGTATTAATTAAAAAAAATGGTCCAAACATTCGACCTACGAAAAATATCAAAATAAAACTTCGTTTATATTGGGTGCGATGGAAAAAGCACACTTTATTTGTTTTTCACACGTTCAACAAAGTCACTGTCACAATTAAAATAAAAATCAATAACATGTGTTGGAACATCTAATGCTTGCGTGCCAAATAATAATAAAATCGATTAAAAATTACCATAAACCACATCTAGGTTATAAAATTAATTGACACACATTTTTTATGCTTTTTCTTTCAATTTTTGAGCACTTTTAATTCAAGTTAATATGCACCCGATGCATTTAAATGAATCAAATTAAAGTGAATTTTCCAATAAAAGTTTTGTAAGTATCAATTGAATGCCCTCCATGAAAGAGACAGGTGATCCGTCACCTTAGTATGGCTGTTCCATATAGTCAATTGGAATGGTGCTGACAACTTTTTGCTCTTCGACTTCAACGAACATATTCTGTTCTCTTTCTCTTTTTGCTGACCAATACCATCGCAAGGTGCCATAATAAGTGAATTCGATGGCCGACAATGCTGACATGCCCAAAAAGAGACCTATTACCGAAAAAAATTAAAAGTTCCAAATATTTTCAAGGCCCGTCAAAATTTTTCCAAAAAAAAACAGACCCATTAATCCGCCGATAACGGCCAAAAAATCAGAATACGTGTACACCTCAACTCGTTTCACGGTCTCAATATTCATTTCACGGAAAAAGACGGCCAAGCGAGCATTTTTGGTGCTACGAAGAAAACGCATGAGGGAAATTAAATGATGTAAATAAGGAAGGGATTGAGCTAAATAAAAGTTCTTTTTTGCGAAATATTTTTCACGGAATCACCTCCACTCAAAGTTCCTTTGCGATCCGTTCATGGTGACGACATCGAATTTAACACGATCGATGTCAGCTTGATACTCAAAGTGTGTGCATGTTGGTTTGCAATTACATTTTTGACGATAAGTGTCTGGATGTAAACTCATTGAGAACTTAGTTTCGGCATCATTGATGCATACAATGTTGCCACTGCCGCAAATTTTCGTGTGTATATCACCTGTGGATGATGGGAAAAATCAATTGAAATATCAGACTTTTCAGACGCAAAATGGACATTTTTTGTGTCCATTCGTCCGTTTGGTGATTTTTGACGGATATTTTTAAGAATTTCACATACGTGGTTGATCAAATCGAACGCATCCACATAAATAGCTGGTGAAATTAGCCAAACACTCCTCTTCACAGGAGGCTTGCGAATACCGCTTGAAGAATTTCAACGATCGTTCACGGAGGAAAAAGCAATTTCGCAACTTTGGATTGTAACTGCGCAAACCTTTTGCGGTGAGTGTTATTTTTGGGTAGATGGTGATTGTGGTATCTTCAGCTATGGGTACACGATATGTGTGCCGTTGAAGCTTAAGTGCTTCCCCCGGTGGCGTCAATATCACTCGATATCCCTGATCATAGCCCTTGCACCGATATTCAAAATCTTTTTCATCCAAGTACAGAGACATATCGAAGGAAGCTGCTCTTCCTGTATCGACCACTCGGAGCTAACAAGAAAAACATTAACCGAAAACTCCAAAATTTCTTTGGAAAAAAAAATATGGTTCAATTTACCGGATATTCTCGATCGCCTTCATTATCATCATAACCATTTTCAAAATGCCAGTGTGCAATTCTTCGATTATTTTTCACATTCATTATCCCCGGTGCCATGCTGAATAAGAAAATAACCCCAATTAGTTTGTGGAACCAATCATTTCAATTAATTTGATTGGCAATTGTCATGACTTACTACTTGGTATAGATTTGATCCGAATTGAGCGCATTGAATGTATAGCAAAGACCTTCCTCCGTTAAAATCGGAACAACATAATCCGAACAATTGACAATTTTACTTTGCCACCAGCACTCAAACATTGTTTCGTTCATTGTGTTGCCCATTTCAGTAATGAGATCGTAAATTGATTCATCAACATACTTATCCAAATTTCGTTTCTCCTCGAACTTATACTTGTCAGGGAATGATGTGCACATTTGTGACAAGTAGTTGAAAAGGACCAGACTAAAAATGACATTGGAATTGATTAGTCGATGCAATGTTTGAAAGGAAATACGGGTTCGACTGCGACACTATCACAAAAATTTCGTCTTCAAGCTACCAGAGTCATGCTGTTGAAATAAATATCTTTTGACAGTTGACTCATTCCCATCGTTCTTTACGCTTTTTTATTTCTAATTCCCAACCGTTCTGAATTAATGTTCTTTCAATTAAGATAGAGCGCAGCCTAGTCCCGTTTAATGAAAATACTCAAATTTACGCGAAGTTCTTTTAAAAATTAAAAGTTCCAATCGTAATTTTTGTAAAACTCACTCCCTTCCTTTTAAGGTGTTATTCATCCGGGCTTCGAGAAGTGCTTCATAGGATTCAATCAGGTCGCCTCCGAGTTTTATTGCTTTTGACTCGTGGCAAATTGTAACTGTAATTCACGCATTTCACAACAAAATTGTAAAAATTCATTAAATTTCAGCAAACGAACCTGTTGGAAATGGGATGTATGAAATCGGTAGTTCACGTTCGTTGAAGCTCAACGTCACTGGATACTCGTTCCACTGTTCCCAGGCGTTGCAGATGAATTTCACACAGAGAACAGACGAAACACTCAAAAATGAACCCCAGAACAATCTGATAAATTAAAACGGGATTTTTTATTCAAAAAGGCGGAAAAGATTCTCATAATTAAACAAATATATTCGGAATACAAAAAGGAAAACGACGAAAAACTATTGTCACCTTTCACTCCAATGGAGTTTCTTTTCCGTGAGATAACGCAGACCATGAATGTTTGAGTTGTCGCCGTACTCCCATGTGAACGCTTTCACACCACACAAAAACTCCCAAATCGCATTTTTCTAAAAGGGAAGGTTATTAACTGGGTTATTAAGAAGTGTTACCCCCTTAAGAATGTTCAAAGATATTTTTTAATTTGCTAGGGTTTTTTGTCGAGAGAAATTCTTTCGATTTCCTTGGGTGTTTGAGCCAAATTCTACCCGTCCCCATTATAATTTTTTTTTCACAGTGGATTCAAAAATTCTTTACTCCTAACTTTATTCTTCACTAGATAGGAATGGATTTTTTGTTTACCCCTCACAATTTTCTTAAATCCCTTGCCCCCATAAATTTCTACCTTGATCAAGCATGTACTGTACTATGTGAGATACAAGAGTTAGAAAGTACGATGAAATCGACTTTGGCGCGATTGTCTTCATCGCTCTTTCATTTAAAAAAAGACTTTCGTGCGCTTGTGTAAGGAATGGTGGTGAAAATAATTGGTTTGGTGGACTTACCACTTGATTGACATTTTCCTTGGCTCTTGTCGCAAAATCATCGTGTCCTTTCACTTTCATCTTCATCTTAACTGTCACCGTCACTATTTATTTTTTCACCAAATGAAAAGTGGTTTAAAAAAACAAAAGGCAAACAAGAAATAAAAAATCGAAAAATTCTTTGGTTGTTGCTTTCAAATAAATCAAAACTTTTCGTTTGTTTTTTTTATAGAATTAAATACTTTTAAACAAAAAGCGTCAACAAGGTGTCTCAAGTTTGGTTCGAACAAATGATGGTGTATTTGTCCTTCCTGGTTTTTCCAAACTGAATGCAATCGAAAAATACAAGAAAAAACAAACCATTTTATATCGTGTATTTTAAATATATATTTCAAGTTCAATGCGGTGATAAATTGAAATTTCCATTTGGATTTTAGCCATTTCATTATTGGATTTTTAGTGCCAGTTCGCACGTAAAAGAGCATTTCATTACATTAATGGTTAATTTTTCAAAATGGAAATGAAACAGTTTCAATGGAATTTATATGGACAGAAATGAATCGATGTAATGATCAATTTTGCGAGTAACTCATGCCGCTTGAAACTTGTATGTTTTGATGAAACAAATATTTTACTTTATTGTCCTACTTTCCAACGTTTCAAAATCATAGCAGGAAAGATTTTCAACAGCTTGAGGTCTAATACGTGGCACAATAAATTTATAATTCAAAAAAAACTCAAAGCATAATTTGAATAATGAAAATGCTGCATTTTTATGAGAAAATATTCTATGATTATTTGATATAAAAGTGCCTAGTTTCACCTGGTACTCCAACAAAATATTACCACTCACTTGTATTTATCACTTTAACAAACTTAAACAGTAACTTTTGAGGAACGAAACTACTTTGATAAACAAAATTACACGATTGTTGATAAAAATGTAGAAATTCAATTGAAAAGTTAAGCAAATCAAATATTTTAAAGGAAATTTTTTGTTCCTTTGAATGAAAAATTATGATTGAGATTTCAAAGTGCACTTCGCACAAAAATAAAATTCTTCCCAATTTGTGTGAGCGATTAAATGATACTAAATCGTTTTTTCAGTTACATTTCATTGATTAGGTATAGATTTTTAATCGAAATTGATAGATAAATAAATGCTATTGACAGATATTATTCATTAATCATTAAAATGTTTTAATTTATAAATAAACCCATATTATGATGGAAAGGTAATGTTACCCATATGAAACCTAAACGCTGTGCGCGTCAAATCGACGTTATTCGACGCTATGCAATGTGTATATACAATTGTACATTATATTTACCCCGTCGAATATTATATATATATATAACACACAGTGTGCGCAGCTACATACAGAGCATGCGAACATGCGTACGCTTGTGTGTGTATGAGCGCATTCCATATATCGTTAAAAACAACATGTATTGTATAACGCACACATCTACATACTAACGGTCAAGTGAGAAACGAATCCAAAGTACACTAATTATTTCTTAACCGATGTTATTGTTCAATATTTAGAAGGCAAAAGCAATAATGACATTTGTGATTTTAAAGATGCTGTAGTTTACAAAAAAACCAAAGAAAAAATTGGTGAACATATTTTACCATTCACTTTAAACGTCGATGGAGGAAAAATATTTAATTCATCCAATAGTTCGCTTTGGCCGTTGCAATTAGTTCAATTGTATTTGCCGCCAAAAATTCGATATTTACAAGAAAATGTGTTAGTAGTTGGATTATATTGTGGAGAGAAAAAACCAAATTTTGCTGCAATTCTCAAGCCAGTTGCAGAAGAAATGAGAGACTTATTCAAAGGAATATGTTTACATTACGCAAATAAATTATTACACGTCGTACCTGCGATAATGTTTTGTGCATGTGATTTACCAGCACGCGCAGCAATGCAAAATATCGCTCACGTATCTGGATATTATGGATGTCCATGTTGTGAACATCCCGGTCAATCGATTTTAAATGGTAAAACAAAAACCAAATATGTGAGATACTTAGCACAAGCTGAACCATCTCCAATTAGAACTCACACTAATTTCATAGAAATTTGTCATCAAATTTATAATGGTGTTACACCGAAAAATATGAAGGGTATAAATGGCATTTCACCTATGATCGGCTTTAAGCACTTCGATCTTGCAAATGGTTTTACCACCGATTGGATGCATGGATCATTATTAGGCGTGATGAAATTGATGTTGGACATTTGGCTGGGAAAACGAAAATTATTCTATGCAGATCATGAACATCACATTATTTTCAAGCCACTAACAAACAAAAATCAGAATGAACTGGACAAACGTCTCAAATCTTTAAAACCATATCATCGTCTAAACCATAAACCGAGATCGGTGATAGATAAAAGAGCCTTTTTCTCAGCAAATGAATATCGAAATATGCTATTTTATTATTTAAAATTTGCATTACGTGACATTTTGTCGACCGAATTAATTAATCACTTCGAACTGTTATCTGCGGCGACATATATGTTATCCAAGAGTCGAATTACACATACTGAAATATCAGATGCAGGAAAAATGCTAAATAAATTTGTCGACGATTTTGAAAAATATTATGGAGAAAATGCCATCACAATGAATGTACATTTATTGAGACATTATTCAACAGGTGTTTTAAACTCAGGACCATTGTGGACACACTCACTTTTTTCCTTCGAATCCAATATGGGAAAACTGAAAAGATTAAGAAAATCTTGCGTGGATGTAGTTGAAACCATTGCGTTCAACTATTGTTTAGAAAAAGAAGATCACAGTGCTTCAGACGAGACATATGATGATAATGTAGAAAACATTCAAATTCTTCATGCCAAAGCGCAAATTGTGTCACTTCAAATATACAATGCATTAACCGATTCAGATGTAAAACCAAATGAAAAAAATGAGTATATGGTCGGCAAAGGAATGAGAAAAAATCGAACAGTATATAAGTCAACATTGAGTCCAAAATCACAATTTATTGATTCGTTTGTGCAACTAAAAAATGGTTCAATCGGAGAAATTCAGTGTTTTATTCAATCGGAAAAAGCATATGCGGTTATAAAAATATATGAAACTATAAAGAACCACTATCATTTGAAACAGATACGTCCTAAAAAAAACAACAAATTCAAAGTGTTTCTATGTGATGAAATTGAAGAACAGCTTATTTATTTAAAATACAATTATTCATGTGTAGCATTTGTTGAAATGGTTGCTAATGAACCGAATTTTTTTGAAGGAAATTAATCAACGCTCTACTCTTACATAATCCAAATTTCTTAAATAATTGCGATGTGAATAATGAATGTTTACAGTGAATCAGTTTGAACTTGATCGATTTTCGATAATCGTCGTGTATGCATTGTCCCTTCCGCCTTACATCTCATTCTTATAATAAACATCAACATACACACAATCGCACAAGTGTATGATGCAAATTTGGAATGTGTAAACCCAAGAACAATAGAGACACATACACACACATATATATACAACAATATGCATCAATACACACAAAACGGTCAAACGCGGTAACGATCAAAAGGCTCGTGCCGCTCTCAAACAGTCGCTTACCGAAATCAAAGGAAATTGGTCGCAAAGAATTTTTTTTGTTGATAAAAGTCAATTTAGTGTAATATTCAAAAATTCCAAAAACATGAATCGAGTAACTCGCAGCCGTGTAATTGTGAGCATCGATGGCGAACGAAAAATATATCTGTGCCATGAAAATTTGGATGAAATTGAAGAAAATGGGGAATTATTGCAAGACAATTCGGAAAAATCTAATTTGTGGGTCGAAGAACCGAACACATCTCAAAATGAAGTAAACGCAAACATGGTCACAACAACAGCAAATGCATCTCGAATTGAAGGAAACGAAGACATGGTCACAGATGAACCAGTACCGGACGTAGTAGTTGGTTTTGAAAATATGTCCATTGAAGGTAGGTTTTTGTTAAATTATATTAAATTGTTTAAAATGTAAGACAAAATAAGTGACAAATATAAAGAAAATTTGCTTGTTTCATAAAAATTATTGGCATGAGTAGAATTTTCAGAAATTGAATGCATTACAAATAAAAACAGAGTAGACGTCAAAAAACGTACGACAGTAATATTTTCAATTAACAGAAAAACGAAAACAATTTCATGAAATAAATCACGAAATTTCAATTCGATATATGTACGAAGAATCAAAGAAGAAAGACTCGTTTATAGCATTCACATTCAACGTACGAACGTGTATGCTCATGGCACACTCAGTTGTATGTTTGAAAAAATATTCGCATTACGTTTGTTGTTGCTTGTACCGCAAGAAATAAACAAAAGAGTGCGTATTTTTTTTAGAACAATATTTTTGTGTTAGTGATTCTTTTGAGAAAAAAAAACAAATGTCTTTCATATCAAAGAAGAATTTGTCATTTATTTTGTCTTCCAGTTTGAATTGGAATATAATGTGATGTACTGCACCGCATACTTGATTGCTTTTACTGTGTTATATATGCTCAGTGGGGCTCTTGACCTAGGTCAGTTGTCAATATCGTGTTGATGTGTGTATTAAGTTACAATTCGACGAATTCATGTTTTAAAATGTAAGACATATTAAGAGAAATGAAACTTATGTACACTGTACATCGTTTTTGAATTTTGTTGTAATTTTTTTTTTATGTATTTTCAAGACATTTTTGAGTTCATTCACTTGTTGATCGATTTAATTTGTTGCAATTTGATACTGACTGCTATATTGATTTTGAGGATAAAACTTATTTGAATTTTTTGAATTTGTTTAGATTGTGATAATTCATCCGACTCTGTCATTTATGTGGGTACAGAAATGGATGATTCTGTAATTTACGTTGATACCATCAAGGGTGAGACAATTCCACCGAAAATTGAAGCAAATGCAAATGGTATGTGCAAGTGTTTATAATTTATATATTATATTGTGGTTCAGCTACATGCATCTGAACGTATTTTCTACATTTTTTTTTGTTTGGTTTGTTTTTCAGACTATGCAGGTGATATTTCATCAGACTGCTCTACCGAATTCAATTCACCACCGTCATATACCGAACAACTACGTGAGCTGTATAAGACGAATGCTCGAAACACAGAAGGTCAAACAGTTGAAGAGATTT